TGCCACAGCTGGTAACATTCACTGGCCTTGTTTTCTTCACTGTAGAGGTCAATCATATCTTAAAAAATGTGTGGGGTGGACAGTGTCTGTCTGGTTCCTGGACATATTGACTTAGAATTGCAATTTAACAAATTAAGAGTATTATTGGGTACCTTCTCCCCACTGGGTGATGAACTTTCCACTTGGTGAAAACTGCACAATCCGACTGTTGCAGTAACCGTCTGACACATAGATGGCTCCAGTGCTGGGATCCACAGCCACATCAGTTGGCTGGCAGAAATGATTTTGGTCACTGCCTGGTTGCATGCTCCTTCCCAGTATTAAGAGAGGGCCTGCTTTGCTGTGTGGGTCCAGTTTGAACACCTTTTTCAAAATAAGCAAAACTTTTATCTACTTTTCATTATTATTTTTGACACACATATTATAAAGGTTATATAGACCAGGTTGGCCTCAACTTCACAGAGATCTGCTAGCTTTTCCCTCCCCAGTGCAGGGATTAAAGGTGTGTGCTACCATGCCCAGCTTTAATACAAGATAATTTTAAAACTGGATAGGATCATAAAAACATTTGAATTCTTCATTTGATAATTAGATATACAGAGATTAAGTGATTTTTCTCAATGTTATCTAGTTAACAAGTAGTGAATAGAGACAGATATTTGGATAGTCTATTCATTACATTAGTCTCCACTTCCTTTTGGTCTTCACTGAACTAATACCTTCAGACAGTCCATGAGCCATAGGCATTCATGGAAATTATGATTGAAAATTATTCAGAGGGCAGATTAATGACTCAAAACCATATTTTATGAAATCCAAGTTTCTTTTCCCCATTTTTTTCTTGCTTTGTGTCACTATCATATTAATAAGCTTATCTTATAGATGTATGTGTGAGGTTTTAAGAAAATGTTTAATACATACTTAATAGGGACTTTGCTTCAATTTATAGAAAATTTCTTTGGGTCAGGAAAGAAAACATAAAAATAAGCAAAAAAATAAATGTAGAAATCAGATCTAAGGACAACAGAAATAAGGGCCAATGTAGAAAACTGCGAGTGAGAGGTTGGAAGACATCAGACATTATAATGAGACTCTACACCTGGCCCTGGTCTTCCTGGGGACCCAAGGGAGAAGAGAGATCTAATAATGAACAGGCTGACTTCTCCCAGCAAAGTGTTAAGATGAGGACTGATACGGATTGAACATTGGTGTCTCTCATTCATATATTGAAATTCTAAATCCTATGTAATGGGAGTCGGAAATAACAAAGTCATCATGGTGAACTTGTGAGATTGCTTAATGTCCTTTTAAGAGGAGACATAAGCATTTGCTCTCTTTTTTTTCTCCAGGAGAGGATACAATGAGAAGATAGCCATCTGCAACCCAGGAAAGGACCCATACCAGAACCCTACCATGCTGGTACCCCAATCCCAGACAGCAAGCTTGATCTGTCAGAAATAAATTTCCTGGTTACTTGTAAGTCACCAAATCTATGGTATTTTACAGTAGCAGGCTGAATTTACTATAACATGGTAGTTCCCAAGCTGTAGAAAACAGACCCAGTAAAATCCAGAGCATTTTGAAAGCTTAGCCATCTTAGCTTCTATTTGAATACTACCAAATGGGAAGATTACCTGATGGAGAGCCACGTCTGTGACCCAGTAATTTCCATCTTTATCTATGCTCAAGCCATGTGGTAAATAAAACCTATAAAATAACAATAACTGTATTAATTATGTTTCTTCAAGCACACACGAGAAGAATTTAGTTGTAATTAATTCATAAGAGCAGTATACATTTATAAAAAAGTAATGGTATACTTGTATCATTATAGAAAATATCAAAGTGAACTGTTAATGCAAATAACCTGTTATAGCATAGACAAATCCACTTGTCACAAAACTTCAGCAGCATTTAATCAATCATAAAATCTATAAATGAAACTTACATATAATTATAAAGTATGCTCTATTAAGCAACACAAATAAAATTAAATTAAAAGCAAATTCTTAGATCATATTAAAGTATAAAATAAATTGCCTAGAAAAATATCAATGTAATTCTATACTTTTTTTGCATGGGTGTATGTATGTATGTATTCATGGGTGTGTGCACATACATTTGTATACCTCTGTATGTATGTGTGTGTGTGTGTGTGTGTGTGTTTGCACATTTGTGTAGGCTAGAGGTTGACATCAGTGCCTTCCTTAATGGCTCTCCACCTTATTTTTTGAGATAGGGTCTCTCACTGAACCTGGAGCTCGACAATTGACTAGACTGGCTAGCCTGCAAGTCTACTCTAGTTTGTTTTCTATTGCTATGATAAAACACTCTGACCAAAACCAAGTTGGGGAGGAAAGGGTTTATTTCATCTGACATTCCATCCTTGAGGGGAGCCAGGGAAGGAACCTGGGGACAGGAACTGAAGCAGAGACAGTGTAGGAATGCTGCTTACTGGCCTGTTCCTTTGGCTTGAGCTTAGCTTGCTTGCTTATACAACAGGATCACCTGCCCAGTGATGCACTTCCCACAGTGGGCTTGACCCTCCCACAACACATAACAATCAAGAAAATGCCTCACGGACAGGTCCATAGGCCAGTCTGATTGAGGAAATTCCCCAATTGAGAGTCTCTCCTCCCAGGTGTGTCAAACTGACAACGGAAGCCACCAATCATCACAAAGTCCTAGGGATCCTTGAGTCGCTGACACGATCCACCTCCAGTCTCAGCACTGGGGTAATAGATGTTTACTGTACCCAGCTTTTACATGGGTTCTGAGGATTCAAACTCTAGTCCTTATGCTTATGTGTCATGGACTTTATGTTAACATAAACTATTATCACATGTGACTCAAAAGCTTTAAGAATGGCTATGGAAGATAATGATTAACACAGAGAACAACTTTTAGCAGGCCACGATCTTCCAGGCACAGTGAAGAGGTGAGTTAGACAATCATTACAGGAGGTCAATCTACTTAGCATTTCAGACTGATGCAGACAGAGGCCTGCAGGTTTGAAGAACCTTGGGCAGAGTTAATTAACACACGGGAAATGCACTCAGGTGGTTCTGTTCATGCAACACCTGAGAATCCAAGCCTTCTCTGTCAGCTTCTAGCCTTAGTATAGTGTTGGCACCATAGATTTTTTTTATTTTTCCAAGAGCCAAGTCTGTAACATTTTGATCTTGACTAATTGACTGAACTAGATGCCTGCTTTGGCCACAGAAAGTGAGGGTTATTATTTGCTTTCAGCACGGACACTCCACTGCTGGCCAAGTTGATTTACCTTCCCTGTTAATTCCTTTCTGGGATGAGAACACATCTGATTAATGGCTACAGCTTCAAAGAGTCAGGTTCAAACACACAGTGGTAGATATGGTATTATAATTGGGCCTCTGACTTATCTGAGAATACTTTTAAAAAAGAAACCCAAGCTTCATTATCACCATCTCTACTAGCAGCTGCAGTCAAAGAAGAAGCTCTCTGAGTTCCAAAGAAGCTGGCTTTCAAAGAAGCTGGCATTTCCTAGGTGTAAGCAGATGGAGGGGGGCATAGGTCTGGAAGCCGCCAGGTCACAGTGGTTTATAGGACTCTGTAAGCAGGTGTCCCATTCTTTCAATGACCATGACTATCAGCCAATTGTTTTTGCCTGCCAAATGCCATCCAGGAATAAGACCAAATAACGGCTTTCAAATCCAAATTGCATATGTAAGCTAAGGAAAGCTAAAAATGGTATCTGTTTAGTCTTAACATTTTTATGGGAAGAGAAAAGCCTTTTATTCTTATGAGTGATTATTGAAAAGTTCAGAATATTACTTTTTTGCTAAGAAATTCTTTTGGAACCATCAGTCCAGCTGAACAACTTACTTCATATATGACAATGGCTATCTGAAGCCTGACTGCATACTAGAGTCCCTGGAAAGGTTAAATAGCATTAGCCGTGTCCCAGACCAAATCAGGATGTAATTTTTAAAATTAAAAATTGACAGATAAATATTGCTTATATATATGATATAAATATGATGTAATGATATAGGCATACAATCTGTGGTGCTCAAATCAAGCTTGGTAGTAATCTATCATATCAAGTATTTTTTGTGGTAAGAATATTTAAAATTTACTCTTAGGAATTTTGAAAGCAGACTTGCAAATGGCCAATTTGCTATATGAATAGACTTTTTGTGCTTCACAGATAATTCTAATATTCCATTAAGGTGTAGAACCATCTATTTAGAAAGTAAAAGGAAGAATGATTCAGTTAGTTTCCTGCTTTCCTAACTGTAGGTTTACAATGCACTCACAGCCCAGTGATGTGCTTTATACCCAGCACAGGTGGCATGAGCCTTAATAACAAGTAGCATGTCACTCACAGATTCTTCCCACTGGACTGGAGTATGGCAGCATTACTTGGATCTATGACCAGAATGGTGTCATCTTCAATTGGCCCAAGTCCTCTTTGCTGGTAAACAAACTTGCTGTCAAAAGAGCTAAACAAAATATATTAGAATGGAAAGTTACAACCAGAAACTCCAGGGCACTGGAGAAATATTGATCACTCACTTGAGAATCCCAATACACACTCTGAAGTGCTGAGGGATATATTTGACTTCACTGTCTCTTGAACCACAGTATTAACAATTTACGGTGGTCAGCAGAACTGTGGCATTGGCTTTGATGGGGAATGCAGTCTTGGACTCACCAGAGCCAAATCTGCACCTTCACAATACCCACTACGGGAGCTCACATGCACACTGGAGCAAGAGAAACACTGATCCAGAATCGTTAAAGCCACTAAATTAAAAAGCTTTCACATTTCATGAATTAATATATTTTCTTTAAAACTATACAGGAAGGATAACTTATTTTACCTTTCTCTGAAATGATAACAGTTGGAACGTGTAATTTTTGTATTTGCTGAAGGTACAACATGTGAACACAAAATATTCAAAATATTTCAATAACATGAAACAGGATTTACTCTTGAAACAAAAATACACTTAAAGACATGACATTTTTTCTTTATTATAATGGATTTTCATTAGTGCAAAATGGATAATTATATAATAATTGGTTTAAAACAAACATGGCAATTTCCATTTCTAAACTTATCTTCTGGGTTATTATAAAATACTGTAATATATGTAATATATGGACATTTATTTACATTTTATGTTTCTTTTTAAATTATTAGTATCTTTCCTTAAAATGACAATACCACATATATTGTATTTATTTGAATTCTTATTTCAAAAATTATGTCATTGCCTCCTTATCCTTAGGGGGATATGTTTCTGGACCCCACTAATATCTAAAACCACATAGTACCAAAACCTAGGCATACTATACTTATCTTATACAGACATATGATGAAGTTTCAGTTATAAATTGGGCAAAGTAAGAGATTAAAAACAGTAACTAATAATAGAGTAAGTGTAATGGAAGTAGGTAATTAGGTTTCCAGCATCACCAATCCTGAGCTTTGGGGCCATTTTTATGTAAACTAAGGGTTACTTGAACAATTGCAGTGTGGTACTTTGACACTGAATCTCATCTCAGAGATGGTAACTAAGTGACTAATGGGTGGATGATGGATCCAGTGTGTAGATGGTAGGCAAGAGATGATTCATGCCTTGGGCAGGATGGAGAGAGATTTCATGATACTCAGAACGGTACAGTTATAGATGTGAAATGTAATTTCTTTCTAGAATTTTCCATTTATTATTATTGGACTGTGGTTGACTGCAAGTAACTGAAACAAAATGAAGTGAAACCTTCCATAAGGGACAGAAAGTGAAACCTCACATAGGGACCACTGTAAGTGTTAATGGAGCAAATGACAAAGAGGAGCTGCTATTTAAGCCAATGTAACAGTGATGCAAATGAACAAAATACCAAAAACCACCTTACATTTTCAAAAACAAAGTACTGGATCAGCACACAGAGAAGTGGTAATATATACATTATCTATGTGAGTTTTCTTTCTAGTTCTACTGGATAATCAAAAGAAGAATCCGAATAACATTCAATATCTGTTGAGATAGATTTATGACTTGGGAAGGTGACAGACTGCTCAAATCCATTATGTATCCATTTATTAGTTGGCTGGTATTTTCTGTGGAACTGATGGAGAGTCCCAGTAGGAGCACAAAAATTTAAATCATATTCTCTTGACATTGAAAATATTCATCACACAATTATCTGAGCTTCTTGACTGGTAAGGTCTTTGGGGTATATTTTTCCTGAAAGATAACAGTAAGTCCCTGAAGCAGTCTTTATTAATGATGCATTCAATTGAACACAAAATATTGATTCAGCTTTGTCAACCTAAAACTTAAGTAAAACTGTTTACATATGCTATTATGTGCACTTAAAACCACACAGCGGTCTCTAGAAAAAGCACATGCATCTATGAAACAGAAGCAGCGTTACTAACAAAACACATATCAGATAGTCATGGGAACATGATTAAATTGAAACACAAATTTTGTTAGAACAAAATCAATGTATGAATACACAGGTATCATCAAATCATGTGAGGGCAAAAACAGGCACTCCTTGTTGCTATGACAAACATCAGGATTTATCCTGTATTTGAAACTGCATTCAAAATGAATTCTTTACTTGAAATATCCTAACTGTTTTCTAGAAAGCAGTGATGAATTCAGTCATCAATAATCTTATTTTTCCAAACTATGACATTAGATAACTAAAATTAAAAGAGGAAAAGAGATAACCAAGGTTCAACCTACTTAACACAGCATGCTCTCATGTGTGATAAGATGGAGTCACAATGTTCATTAGCTCTTAAGGTTTAAGTTTTATAACTCATTGGTCAGAAGCAGTTCAGTGATCTGTAAAGCCTTAATGGCTATCTGTATAATGTGAAAATTATGTTTCCCATGTTTCTTTTATATAATGAAATGTGTTTTTTTAAAACTATTCGTTGGCATTTTAAGAATTGGTATATAATGGGGGCTGAAGAGATGGATCAGTGGTTAAGAGCACTGTCTTTTCTTGTAGAAGACCTGGGTTCAAATCCCAGCACCCACATTACAGCTAACAACAGTCCATACGTCCAGTTCCAGTGGATCCAACACCCTCTTCTGTCCTCCGCGGGCACTGTACAACATGGATGCACTTATATACATGCAGTCAATACACTTATGTACATAAAACAAACATAATTAAAAATAATTTAAAAAGGAATTGGTGTATATTCATTATACAAAATGATGGGCTTCATCATGACATTTTCATAGATGTATGCTATGTATTTTGTTTATAGTCAGGTCCATTATGATAATCTCCTTCCTTCCTCCAAATACACTTCTACATTCATTATGACATACGTATTTTAAATCTGTATTCTGCATTTGAGAGATAACATACAATACTTGCCTTTCTGAGTTTCACTTGTTTTGCTCAACACCCATTTTCCTACAAATGACATGATTTTGTTCTTCATGGGTGAATAAAATTTCCTTTCCCATGTATGCCACACTTTTGTTTTGTTGAGATAAGGTCTCACTATGTAGTAATTCATTATGTAGACCAGGCTAGTCAGGAACTCACAGAGGCCTGCCTGCCTTTGCTGGCATTAAAGGCACACAGTACCAGGCCAGGCTTCATGTATGCCACATGAAGCATACATCCATTTGTTGATGGGTATTGTTTACATAAACTGAGTATCTGTTGATAGATAGGCTGTTTTGAGAAACTATTTTTTTTCTCTTTTTCTAAATGAAATATTATTGAGATGAATATAGCTTCATACAGTCATACAAAATGACACAGGGCTTCTGTGCATAGTTCCCCCAACAGTAGCATTTTGTAAAACTAAACAGAATATCACAACTAGAGCACTAATATTGATAGATCCACTGCTCATAATTAGATTCCTTTTCCCTTTTTTATTTCTTTAAAGTTTCACTGATTTTTATAGTTTTTTTTTTGCTTGGGTTTGGAACATATTTGCACATTACTTTTCTGGTCCTTCCCACCTAGAATTTAGTAATGTGAAAAATTCCCAAGTCTTCACAATTTTGACCAAGTGCTGTTCATCACATGTATCAAGTGTTCCGATTCATCTGTGCAGTCCAATCGTCCACTATATATCCTCACAAGGCTGCAACATAACAGACCTCAGCACACTTAATTCTGCATGATGAGCTTCACGGAAGCTGCTGCTTTCTCTAATAATGAGTTTCAGTAAATCTGTAAAGCAACTGTTTCCTTTCTCTGTTTTGTTATTTACTTAAATATTCACCATCAAACCTAAATCTCAGATCATGTAATTTTTATTTGGCAAAAAAATCCCCTTTCAACTTATTGATAGGAAAAAAGGACTTTCCATTTCTTGTAGCTTCAGCTTATTTTTCCACACAAATGCTTATAAATATAAATATTAAATATTTCCCTGCAGTCATGTAAGCTCCGAGTCATAAACCTGAAAGGTTAGGCTGGGCTTCTAAGAATAAAAGCTGTGTTAAGGAGCAAAGATAATTCATTCAGACTCATATTCCTATTCCAGCCAGGTCAAATGAAAACATTGTAGCAGATGCACAGGTAGGCGAAGAACACCTTTTATTAAAGGCCCTATTCTGCACTGCTCACAATGTAGAAGAAAAAACCTATCAAGTGACTGATGTTTTGTTGTCACAAGCACAATTTATGTAAGGGCACACACTTCTAATCTAGAAATTTCAGGATTCTAATAAGGGTAACAAGTAGTAAAGTTAATTTTGGGATCATTTGCTTTTATTTCATTAGTTACTATTTGGTAGTGTAGTAGTAAATTATGAAACAGAAAATTAAGACTGAATGGGCCGGGTGTGGTGGCGCACGCCTTTAATCCCAGCACCCAGGAAGCAGAGGCAGGCAGATCTCTGTGAGTTCAAGGCCAGCCTGGTCTACAGAGTGAGTTCCAGGACAGCTCAGCTGGGGCTACAGGGAGACCCTGCTCAAAAAGACTAAAAAAAAAAAGTAGTAAGAAAATTAAACAGGACAAACTAAGTGAATCAGATTTTTATAATCGCAAATTGGATTCACTGAAAAGATCCACCTTTTCAGCTTTTCAAGATGTATTTCCTAGTATCTTAATACAACAACTGAAAAGCTGGGTTGTGTTTGTTTGATTTGCTACTAGGAATTATACTCATGTCATCTGTGCATAAAAACGGCATCTTGAGCTGGGTGTGGAGGCAGAGGCAGGTGAGGCAGGTGGATCTCTGTGTGTTGGAGGAAGCCTGTTTTACATAGCAAGTTCCATGTGAGCTGGGGGTACCAGGAGACCCTGTCTCAAAAAAAAAAAAAAAAAGAAAAGAAAAGAAAAGAAAAGAAATGTGCTAAGACTAGCTTCTTTCCCTAATAATTATAATTACATATTATCAATACACTTCTACTATATGTACTAAGGATCTCTCAGTGACTAGGTAAGCTCTTGAATTTACTAATTATGGAATCTCTTCATGTTGCTATAACCCCACCA